CTTCCTAGAACCGTTGAACACGTTTCGTTGAGAATCGCCTTCAGAGACTTCCAATGTTCTTCCACGCATGATTCTTCAGTGATGTCGCGTAGTGTTTCCTGCTTTGCTCTGACAGTTGCAGTGAAGGTGTCTTTTGTGGTTGTGTCCTTCAGTAATTGAGTGTTGAACTTGCATTGTGGCCTATCCCCAGCTATCCTCGAGGCTTTTAGTTTCACCTTGAAAGTCCCTTCTACTAGATAGTGGTCTGAACCCACATCTGCTCCTCTCCTTGACCTTGTGTCCAGTAGGCTCCGTCTCCACTTTCTTGAAATTGAGATGAAGTCTATTTGATTCTTGGTGTTTCCATCTGGTGAAATCCATGTCGTCTTGTGTATATCCTTGTGTTTGAACACACTACCGCCAATCACCAAATCATTGAAGGCGCAGAAGTCTGAGAAGAGTTCACCATTGTCGTTCATTTCACCGAGGGCCTCACGACCCATGGTGAGTTCTCTTCCTGTGTTGTCTCCTCCCAGCTTCGCATTCATGTCGCCCATCAGGATTTTGATATCGCCATTTGGGACGTTGTCCATTATTGCTTGTAGTTGTCTGTAGAACGCCTCCTTCTTCTCTTGTTCTGAGACGTTTGTAGGCGCATAACATTGAATGACTGTAACTTTCCTTCCTTTTGAGTTGAACCTGGCTGTCATTATCCTGGAGGAGATTGGTTCCCACTGCATGAGAGCTTTGGCTGCTGTTGGTGACATCATGATGGCCACTCCCTCGGTGTGCTCATGGTTGTCCTCTAGGTGGCCGGAATAGATTACTGTCTCTCCAGTAGGTAGTTGGCACCTTCCAGTTCCGTTCCATCTGCTTTCGCAGATTCCCAACACTTCTATTCTGTACCTTCTCATTTCAGCGGCTATCTGGGCAGCCTTTCCAGTTTCGTACATTGTACGAACATTCCAGGTACCCATCCTTACTTTTGCTTTCATCGAAAGAAGGCACATCGGCTGACTGGCTTCCCGAAGGCTTTCACCAGCCTGCGTCATTTCACTTCCCCGATTCCAGCGAAAAGTAAGGCTATTGCTTATGTTTTTAGAATTTTTAATATATTTATTCGTTGAAGTTTCTGTAGCGATTTGGTTGTTTTACAGGGGTGGAGTTGCTAGCACCACGCCCCAACCCTCCCTCTTTACCCGGGCTTGGGACTGGCGAGAAAACTAGTAAGCTAGTAGCCTAGCAAGCTAGTATCTGGCGAGGTTAAATTCGCAGGCCGACCATAGATATCGGATGTGCGTCGGCGTGGGCTCGAACCCCGGACCATGTGCATGGTAGGCGAGCATCCTAACCACTGTGCCACCGACGCACAAAAGCTAAGTAATCAATAAAAATGTTTTTTTTTAATTACGGTGAACGACTAATTAAGAGATTAAGACCATGATAGAATACGAGACTGGACAAACTTTGTCTGTATACAGATTTGGGGGTTGTATTAAGGAATCATTGTAACGATACAATCTAGCCATACAATCATTAGAAAAGTTGAGTTTCTCTTCTATCCATCAGTACTGCTCTATTTAACTGAATTTAAGATTTTACCGTCGATTGATTAGACCGAAGTGCTTGGTCTCAGGTTGACATGTCGGCTTCTTCCGCAGATGCTGCGACGAAGTGTGGGCATGCAATTAGTAGTTAAGTGGTGGATGGCGACTAGCAGTGGAATCCAGAATAACGCGCATTTTATCCTATTTGGGACTCATCATCTGTATGTGCCTGCATTCCCTAATGAGGGATGATGTCCCCCCCCCACCCGAGGCTCGAACCCTGTGGCCATAGTTTCAAACGCCAAAGCTCTGTTGACGGGAAAATCTGAAATTCAATTAAATATCAGGTGGTTGTCGTGGCCCAAGTGGTCTAGTGGATAATTAGGAGAACGGATGAACCACATTCATATTCTAGCTGTCACTATTTTAATATTATTCAATTTTTAGACAACATGTTGCCTATTTTAACATTGTATCGGCAATTCCTTTCCCTAGTAACATTCCCTCTTTACTTCCTTAACAATCAAATCATATTTCAACTCATTAAAGTACACTTTTGCCAAGTAACGTATATCCTGATACATAAACATTACGGTATTCATTACTCCGTCTAATAACCTCTTCTTTAAAACACTCCAGAATCAACTTCTCTTCCTTCACAACTAAGCTAATTCACGTTTTCACAGTACACCTTTCAACGCACTGGATTTCACGATGAATTTCTTCTTTTTCACGTAACTTATATTTCACAGTACAGCTTGATAATGAAGTGATTTGTTTGATGCTGGTTACCAGTGGCAATTAACGTCATACATCTCCTCATATTCGAGACTAGTCAGCGGAATGTTGATGCATCACATTATATCACTATTGGTGTACATATTCAGACAGGTAAACCGAAGTGGTACCACCCTAGATGACTCTATCACAAGATGTATCTCTTTGACAGGTCCTAAATACGACGAAAAGCGTATTCTAGGATCCACGTCTATCGACAATTAAAAATATAGCATCCCGTTAATCTGAAGGAATAGTAGATAAGTCCATTCTGCTAGCCTACCGACGACACAGATCGAACATTTCACTAAAGTGAAATAATTTCTCGACTCGATGATTAATGTATATATATATATTTATATATGTTATTACCTCGCTTGAGAGATCTACGTTATTCCTTATTCATGAGTCACTATCACAAAAAATATCAGTCATTTGGAGAATAAACATAAACACTCAAAACATCTTTTCACAATGGAAACGTTTAGTCAAATAAGCTTAACTGGAGGTTACTGGGCTATGAAACATCCAATCGCTAAATCGCATTCCCTGCATCAGTGCACAGATTATAATTAGTGGTAAAGAATGAATGAATGAATGAGTGAGATATTACCGAACTATGTTTCAATTCGGAAAGAGGGCAAGGTACCCGAGGATTGGAAGAAAGGATACTTATTCAAACTATGAAAGAAAGGAGACTTAAGTCAATCCAAAAACTGGCGCGGAATTAGGCTCCTATCCATCCCAAGCAAAATACTAAGCCGCATAATCCTAGAAAGAATCAAACACGCCGAAATGGATAAAAAAACTTCGACCCGAACAAGCTGGATTCAGGCGAAACAAGTCATGTATTGATCAAATTGCGACAATACGGATCATCATTCAACAAAGCTTGGAATCAACTTCAATGACTTTGAAAAGGCCTTCTCTATAGCTCAGCGTCGACTGAGAGGTGACTTGACAACTATTTCGCTACTACGAGGTGCCATCGACAATTATACATCTCATCCAACAGTTATACAACAATGCTGTATGCCAATGTATCTCCAATGATCCTCCTGATTGCAATTGATTGGATGATGAGACAGACAACGCGCAATGAGGAAACAGGCATAAAATGGACTCACACAAAAAGAGACTTGGAGGATCTGAACTTCGACGATGATGATATATGTCTGATTTCCCACAAACTGGAAGATATGCAAATGAAAAGCAACAAGCTGGCAGAAGAAGCATCAAAGACAGGACTTCAAGTGAACATAGATAAAACAGAAGTGATGACTATTCCTGACCAACATCACCAACAACAACAACAGACAACAATAAGCCAGCATAAATGGGAGGAACCTGAAAGAAACAACCTCCTTCAACTACCTACCTACATGGGAACCATCGTTTCAACTACAGGCGGACGGAGCTGACGAGGATATCAAAGCCAGAATCGGAAAAGCAAGACAAGCTTGCATTACTCTTAAGTCGGTGTGGAGGTCAACAGCCCTGGTCAGCATGAAAAATAAGATCCGGATTTTCAACTCCAATGTGAAGGCAGTGCTATACTACATGGATCAGGGACTTGGCGCTCTATACTCAAGATCAGATGGCCAGAAGAGATCAACAACAAGGATGTCTTGGAGCGGACCAACACAGCAGGAACCGATTGTGAAACAAATGGGCAGGAGGAAATGGAGATGGACTGGCCATACTCTGAGAAAACCATCAATTTACATCATTAGACAAGCCCTCGTGTGGAACCTGAAAAGGAAGCGGCGGGTTGGTCGTTCAAGGGTGACTTGGAGGCGGTCATGTGAAGAGGAGATGAACACACGTGTGCAGACTTGCAGCCAGCTGAAAACTCTAGCAGAGAATCGAACGCAATGGAAACGCGTGGCTGAAGCCCTATGTTCCTCTAGGAATTAACGGAAACAATAACAATGTTTCACTTCTGAGAAATAAGTAGCTTAGCGACTTTAACGATACAGTCTAATCATACAATCATTATAAAACAGTGTTACTCTTCTATCGATCAATAATGCACCATGTTATGTCTGAAATAACTAACAACAACCCGCCTATTTGAAATTTACGCTACATAAAACAATGAACAAGATAAACACATACTTAGAAGAAACTTTCTTATTGCTTTTGTTCCTGATATTGAAAATGTTAAAATCTAGTCTACATAATTATCTACATTAGTGTTTTCATTATTCTTGTGTATAATTAGATGTGAAATTATAAATAGAACAATGACATTAGAACACAGTTATCAATTTTAAGATGAATCATTCCCCGGGGTGTATGAATAATGGATGTGAGCAGATACATTGAAATGAGAGTGAGAGAATGCCTAAATACACGATGAATTTAGTAATGCAAAAATAATTATGATGAATAGGAATGCAGGCAATGGAGACACTAGTCCACGTGAACAACTCATATTTTATATGTACATGGCGACAAATGTTAATAAACAAATGGTTGAGTCACTGAATCACTGAGTAAGTTGGTGGCGATGTCATCAAGTCAATAAGTGAGTAAGGGCGTAAGTAAGTGCGTAGGTAACTAGCGATATAACTGGCTGTGGGTGGGAATCTGAATTTGTTAACTTGACAAATACTCGGGTATATGACATAATCATTCGGTCTATTCGTTCCCAACTCTTAAAACAAAAGTAAATATTTTACCTAGCCAAGCTTTTTAATGATGAGTAACATATGACGAATTTCTGCATGGTCGGTTCACTGTATGCAATGGTTTCCCCTGAATAATACACACGAACAATAGACGAAAGTGTTCCATTCTCCAGATATAAATGATTGTATTAAACATAGACTGCATATAGATAAAAATCAAGAAGATATCTCTTAATATCAGTGAAATACGTAACCTGATTATTGGTTGAATGTCATCATGGTCGAATCGGTGTGTTACTCCGAAAAATATCACTAAAGCACCTGGAACAGATAGAAGAAATGTTGTCCCTGAAATAATCAATAATACAATACACGCTGATAATTCACATGACATAGTCGTCGGTTGTGTCGATGTAGTTGTAATTTTACGCCTGTGACGCAACCAAACATAGATTTTCACTAGTAGTACTCCATTCAATATTCCATTGATAGCTGTTTGAATAACACATTCTCCTGAGAATAGACCATAATATAGGGATTGAAATAAATTACTTGGACGTTCATAACATCCAATTCTATTGTAAAACACAATCCAATCTGACTGAATCACAATTGGTATAGTCATAAGAATAGCTGCACCGAAATTAATGCTCACAAAATACCATGCATGTCGTGGGGTTAATTTACCAAATTTCAAAGGAAATTGAATAGCCAACAATCTGTCAAGCATTGTTGCAACTAATATATTCCCTTTCAATATAATTATAAATGACAAAATGCTGCGATATAACTTGCAACCGATTCTTGATGTAGTGTTTATTGAGAAGAATATCGCTCCATTAGTTGCATACGGAATACCCCTGGCAGGGAATAATCTCAATGTAGCTTCTACGAGGCAAGCGCATAGGTCTATTAACGCAAGAACTCCAAGATAGACAATTTGTCTTGTTTTATGTTGATAACCGTGTAGGAATATGACAGCATTGATCACATTACAGACGACATTGAATAAAACAATGGGGATTAAAAAATAGGCGCATAGGATACCATTGAGTGTTGCAGTGTTGCACAACCTTATCGCCAATTGTGAGGCCCGGTGAAGAGGACCTCAGAGAATGAGATAATGTGGAGGTGGGCTTTGATATAGGAATAGAGCTTTCTTCTGATAAATTCTCACAGTATTCTACAGTAATATTTACTCATGACCACGCTTTGAGCACAATTTGTCACTGCTCATAATCATATCAAGATACTCACACAACTTTCTAACTTCGTTTATATAACTCCATTATTTCAATTCATCGCTTAACTTGATTGGTAGTGGTAGTAGTACTTTCCATACTTCCGGTATGAGTGATAAGTCATTGTATCCTATCGGATGTGTTGGGTGTAGACTGATGAACAAGGATTCAGTAATCAACCTCGCTTTATCTGCACCTACCTAGATTACTCCTTACAATTTTAACCCTCTCCCACTCGCCCCATTTTGTGGTTATGTGTTAATGCATGCAGTCCAGTATAGTTCTGAGCCTTTTCTAAATTACTTATCTTCGCGAGTGGGGTCAATCACTCTTAACTAAGCTAAATTCTTATGTTCTGACAATCTCACTACCCCGATCTACTACTTTGACCTATGTATTTGACCTAACTCACAGTCATTGCTAGGTATTTTGTAAATTATATTATTTTGTCTAATTTGGTCAACCGACAGGTCCTTTAGCCTCAAGAGCTTGCCCTACCTGAATGAGTTTGTAGGTTTAAACTCCACTCTAATTCCTGCTTTTCTGAGAATTCTAGGTAGGGTCTCAGATGTCTCCTCGTCATATAAGATAACTGGAGATGACTTATATTCTTTCTTATTTATGTTATCATTATTAGTTTGCGTCCTTTTTGTGCTACTTAGTGCTATTGCTCAGTTTGTGAAACACTCAACTAAGCCTGCCTTCACAGACAGATAACGGATGAGATGAATTAAAGTCTAAATATCTATTAGCAGATTGTGTTGGCTTTTTATAAACGCTAGTGTGGAGTGCAGTTTACTTTCTTCTGTTTATTTAATTTTACAATCTAAAGCTAATTCTCCTTGTCCATGTTCCGATTCAAATGTGAATGTGTTTGTGCCAAGAAGCAAGAGATATGTTCCGTTTTCAGCACTGTGTGTGAAAATGTCATCCACATATCTCCACCATATTTTTCGAGTAGGATTGAATGTCGTATTGAGAGCACTATTTTCTTATCTGTCCATAAAGATATCTGCTAGCATAGGGGATATTGGTGATCACCCATCCCATCGCTACACCTTCTGTTTGTCTACATATTTTGCCTTAGAATTTAAAAATAGTAGATGTGAGGCAGCATAACTGAAGTCCTAAAACAATTTTTTCAATGGACAGTTTCGTCCTATGAGTGAGTTCAGGATATGTAGTTAGTTCTTTTCTAACTGCTTCTAAGGCTATATTGATTGGTATATTAGTGTAAAGACTAGTTATATCAGAACTAAGCATTGTTTCATTATCCTCTAGTTGAATGTCATTTAGTTTCTTTTACATTTCATATGAATTAGTAAGCATACAGTTTGAGCTATTTCCAATGGGGCATAATATTAGAGGTAAGTGTTTTGATAATTCATAAGTAGGCGTGTTCCCTAAATCTTTTATTGGTCGTATGGTGTAACCTGGTTTGTGTATTTCTGTAGTGTGATATATTCTACTAGTGTTATTAGTTTTAGGCATTGAATTAAACCATTTCGATTTACCCAGTGACGGCTACATTCTGCGTATTAAATCAGCTGTGGATTTCCTAATCTCCTTCATTGTTGTATCTACAGGCCACCTAATTTCCCCATATGGACTTGTCTCAATATGTTCACCGATTTTCTTAATCTAGGCAGATTTGTCTATAACTACCGTCGACTTTCAGGAAAGCAAGACATATGACAGAATGGTGTATTTTGAATTACTGACCAGTGAAAAACTGTATAAGCGAACAGTATCGTTTTCAATAATGCCTCCTCGGCTTTTATTCTAACAATATAAATAACTTTATAAATAAAAACTAATTATGGTGATTTGTAAACAGGATTACTAAACTCTGTAAATATATTTGAGATAATAATAGTGTTAATAATAACAATAATAATAATAATAATACTGCCAATTCTACCAGTAACACTGACGAGCAATGGAACAGTTTCTGATGAGAAGAACAATGAAAAAGGCGTGGTTATGAAAACTGAGCTTCATGCAGAGATGATAGATAGGAGCTTCATAAACAGATAACAGGATGACATAACAAACACTAAACTGTGAACTGTAAAAGTGAATAGACAGCGAAATGTGATACCCTCAAATTCCTTCTTCTGGTTAATCTAGAATTCAAAGTTGACATTGAAGCAGAAAACATTCACAGAATCCTCTGTGAGTTTCTGAGGAAGACATGCTTCGCCGCGAACCAGCCAGAAGGCGAAAGACAAGCTCTCAAATTCGGCAACGTGCATGTGCCAGTATACTTGCACTTCAGGAGCTGAGTTCATACGCCGTACAATACGCCAACTTACAAAACGGGCTCGTGAACACTATCCAGCGTGGTTATTATAAGGAGAACGAAAACGAGTGTGTAGTTCAGTGACAGAACATCCGGTCAATTCAGGATATTCAGGTTATTTTTGAGAATTTCGTAATCTCTATTTACACTATCATATTTACATGGCCGTACTTCGTCTGTATTTTGTCATTTTATTATTTTTGCATGTTTAATCCCTAATTGCATAAACAATTATTTGTCACATAAGTTATGATCCCACTAGATTTTATCCAAACATCCTGTCTATTTTTTATTTCTACATATCTCATCCCTAATTGTGCAACATCTTCTCAATAATTACGATGCTACTTTGTTGGAGTTTTATCCGTGTCCCTGTTTATTATAACATTTTAAGTCTTAATTATAATTTTATTAATTTGACACTTGACGGGAAATTATTCTGGAACTTTCTCACTTATTTTTTATAAATGCACGAATGTACAGTCTAGTTGACGGTGACTTCGTCCAAAGGATAATTTTCTTCACTGCAACCATCATTCTTATTTGCTTTGTCGGCATTGACGTTTTTAGTGAGGGTGCAACAAGACTACGAATTGAGAGAGGGGAGGCTAATGGTAACAAAGAAAGGATTACCCGACCACAATAATTGGTGTGATGTATGCTGACTAGGCTATCCAACTATTTTTCCTCACTGAGTTTCTAGTGGAACATGTGGTTTCAATATGTGAAGTTCCAGGGAGAATCTGTCTTTCCCAGACTTACTGGCAAGGAATAAACTAACAGAGGATTAGGAGTGCATGTGAGGACTGCTGTCTCAAGAATATTAATAGGCGAAACAAATCGGTAGCATAGATTTCGATCCCAACGTGCTAGTTTTCTAGCACACTCTCGGAATCTGTTATGATTAATCATCACTACTGTTACCCATTTCAGCCCAGCAGGACTTTTGTCACACAAATACGACTATTTATTTTGGCATCCCATAACTAACATGTTATTTCATCATAATTAAGACAAACAATTGGCCGAATATTCAACTTAAATAAAGTGACATAATTCGAAATGCCAGTTTGCTGACAACAGGTCTAACTTCTTTGTGACATGTCGTTAGCAAATTACATCCTTAGTGTGAAAATAAAAGCAGCATTTTCTTTTTATTCAAAAAAGGATAGATGAGTAAGATAAATTAATGCTGACGCTACGTTTAGCCGATAAACATACCATTTCAGATTCCGAAAATAACAGTTACTATGGTTACCCGGCTAGCTTGGTAAATTCTCTTTTTGTAGTATTTTGAAAAATAGACAACCAAATTGAAAACAACTCAGGGTATTGTGTATGCCTGTTGTGTATTATTGTTTTGAATACAATTAAGGTGAGAGACAAAAATACCCATATATATATATATATATAATATATATATAGAGTAATATATTGACTGTGATGCACTGAACACGGTGATGTCGTTCAATATTTCCACATATCCATTTTTCGACAATCCATGGGATTTTTTCATAAACTGTGAGAATGTGAAACGTGGTAGTCCAAAATCATCTCAAGCATTTTGCAACACTGCAACACTCAATGGTATCCTATGCGCCTATTTTTTAATCCCCATTGTTTTATTCAATGTCGTCTGTAATGTGATCAATGCTGTCATATTCCTACACGGTTATCAACATAAAACAAGACAAATTGTCTATCTTGGAGTTCTTGCGTTAATAGACCTATGCGCTTGCCTCGTAGAAGCTACATTGAGATTATTCCCTGCCAGGGGTATTCCGTATGCAACTAATGGAGCGATATTCTTCTCAATAAGCACTACATCAAGAATCGGTTGCAAGTTATATCGCAGCATTTTGTCATTTATAATTATATTGAAAGGGAATATATTAGTTGCAACAATGCTTGACAGATTGTTGGCTATTCAATTTCCTTTGAAATTTGGTAAATTAACCCCACGACATGCATGGTATTTTGTGATCATTAATTTCGGTGCAGCTATTCTTATGACTATACCAATTGTGATTCTGTCAGATTGGACTGTGTTTTACAAAAGAATTGTATGTTATGAACGTCCAAGTAATTTATTTCAATCCCTATATTATGGTCTATTCTCAGGAGAATGTTTTATTCAAACAGCTATCAATGGAATATTGAATGGAGCATTACTAGTGAAAATCTATGTTTGGTTGCGTCACAGGCGTAAAATTACAACTACATCGACACAACCGACGACTATGTCATGTGAATTATCAGCGTGTATTGTATTATTGATTATTTCAGGGACAACATTTCTTCTATCTGTTCCAGGTGCTTTAGTGATATTTTTCGGAGTAACAGAACGATTCGACTATGATGACATTCAACCAATAATCAGGTTACGTATTTCACTGATATTAAGAGATATCTTCTTGATTTTTATCTATATGCAGCCTATGTTTAATACAATCATTTATATCTGGCGAATGGAACACTTTCGTCTATTGTTTGTGTGTATTATTCAGGGGAAACCATTGCATACAGTGAACCGACCATGCAGAAATTCGTCATATGTTACTCATCATTAAAAAGCTTGGCTAGGTAAAATATTTACTTTTGTTTTAAGAGTTGGGAACGAATAGACCGAATGATTATGTCATATACCCGAGTATTTGTCAAGTTAACAAATTCAGATTCCCACCCACAGCCAGTTATATCGCTAGTTACCTACGCACTTACTTACGCCCTTACTCACTTATTGACTTGATGACATCGCCACCAACTTACTCAGTGATTCAGTGACTCAACCATTTGTTTATTAACATTTGTCGCCATGTACATATAAAATATGAGTTGTTCACGTGGACTAGTGTCTCCATTGCCTGCATTCCTATTCATCATAATTATTTTTGCATTACTAAATTCATCGTGTATTTAGGCATTCTCTCACTCTCATTTCAATGTATCTGCTCACATCCATTATTCATACACCCCGGGGAATGATTCATCTTAAAATTGATAACTGTGTTCTAATGTCATTGTTCTATTTATAATTTCACATCTAATTATACACAAGAATAATGAAAACACTAGTGTAGATAATTATGTAGACTAGATTTTAACATTTTCAATATCAGTAACAAAAGCAATAAGAAAGTTTCTTCTAAGTATATGTTTATCTTGTTCATTGTTTTATGTAGCGTAAATTTCAAATAAGCGGGTTGTTGTTAGTTATTTCAGACATAACATGGTACATTACTGATCGATAGAAGAGTAACACTGTTTTATAATGATTGTATGATTAGACTGTATCGTTAAAGTCGCTAAGCTACTTATTTCTCAGAAGTGAAACATTGTTATTGTTTCCGTTAATTCCTAGAGGAACATAGGGCTTCAGCCACGCGTTTCCATTGCGTTCGATTCTCTGCTAGAGTTTTCAGCTGGCTGCAAGTCTGCACACGTGTGTTCATCTCCTCTTCACATGACCGCCTCCAAGTCACCCTTGAACGACCAACCCGCCGCTTCCCTTTCAGGTTCCACACGAGGGCTTGTCTAATGATGTAAATTGATGGTTTTCTCAGAGTATGGCAGTCCATCTCCATTTCTTCCTGCCCATTTGTTTCACAATCGGTTCCTGCTGTGTTGGTCCGCTCCAAGAGATCCTTGTTGTTGATCTCTTCTGGCCATCTGATCTTGAGTATGGAGCGCCAAGTCCCTGATCCATGTAGTATAGCACTGCCTTCACATTGGAGTTGAAAATCCGGATCTTATTTTTCATGCTGAGTAGTGCTGTTGACCTCCACACCGACTTAAGAGTAATGCAAGTTTGTCTTGCTTTTCCGATTCTGGCTTTGATATCCTCGTCAGCTCCGTCCGCCTGTAGTTGAAACGATGGTTCCCATATGGGTAGGTAAAGGAGGTTGTTTCTTTCAGGTTCCTCCCATTTATGCTGGCTGATTGCTGTTTGCTGCTGTTGTTGGTGGTGATGGTGTTGGCCAGGTATCTCCATCACCTCTGTTTTCTCTATGTTTGCGTGCAGCCCTGTCTTTGATGCTTCTTCTGCCAGCTTGTTGCTTTTCACTTGCATATCTTCCAGTTTGTGGGAAATCAGACATACATCATCATCGTCGAAATCCAGATCCTCCAAGTCTCTTTTTGTGTGAGTCCATTTTATGCCTGTTTCCTCATTGCACGTTGTCTGTCTCATTATCCAATCTACTGCGATCAGGAGGATCATTGTAGATACTTGGCATACAGCATTGTTGTATAACTGTTGGATGAGATGTATAATTGTCGATGGCACCTCGTAGTAGCGAAATAGTTGTCAAGTCACCTCTCAGTCGACGCTGAGCTATAGAGAAGGCCTTTTCAAAGTCATTGAAGTTGATTCCAAGCTTTGTTCAATGATGATCCGTATTGTGGCAATTTGATCAATACATGACTTGTTTCGCCTGAATCCAGCTTGTTCGGGTCGAAGTTTATTTATCCATTTCGGCGTGTTTGATTCTTTCTAGGATGATGCGGCTTAGTATTTTGCTTGGGATGGACAGGAGCCTAATTCCGCGCCAGTTTTTGCATTGACATAAGTCTCCTTTCTTTCATAGTTTGAATAAGTATCCTTTCTTCCAATCCTCGGGTACCTTGCCCTCTTTCCGAATTGAAACATAGGTCGGTAATATCTCACTCATTCATTTATTCATTCATTACCACTAATTATAATCTGTGCATTGATGCAGGGAATCCGATTTAGCGATTGTATGTTTCATAGCCCAGTAACCTCCAGTTAAGCTTATTTACTAAACGTTTCCATTGCGAAAAGATGTTTTGAGTGTTTATGTTTATTCTCCAAATGACTGATATTTTTTTGTGACAGTGATTCATGAATAAGGAATAACGTAGATCTCTCAAGCGAGGTAATAACATATATATATATATATATATATTAATCATCGAGTCGAGAAATTATTTCACTTTAGTGAAATGTTCGATCTGTGTCGTCGGTAGGCTAGCAGAATGGACTTATCTACTATTCCTTCAGATTAACGGGATGCTATATTTTTAATTGTCGATAGACGTGGATCCTAGAATACGCTTTTCGTCCTATTTAGGACCTGTCAATGAGATACATCTTGTGGTAGAGTCATCTAGGGTGGTACCACTTCGGTTTACCTGTCTGAATATGTACACCAATAGTGATATACTGTGATGCATCAACATTCCGCTGACTAGTCTCGAATATGAGGAGATGTATGACGTTAATTGCCACTGGTAACCAGCATCAAACAAATCACTTCATTATCAAGCTGTACTGTGAAATATAAGTTACGTGAAAAAGAAGAAATTCATCGTGAAATCCAGTGCGTTGAAAGGTGTACTGTGAAAACGTGAATTAGCTTAGTTGTGAAGGAAGAGAAGTTGATTCTGGAGTGTTTTAAAGAAGAGGTTATTAGACGGAGTAATGAATACCGTAATGTTTATGTATCAGGATATACGTTACTTGGCAAAAGTGTACTTTAATGAGTTGAAATATGATTTGATTGTTAAGGAAGTAAAGAGGGAATGTTACTAGGGAAAGGAATTGCCGATACAATGTTAAAATAGGCAACATGTTGTCTAAAAATTGAATAATATTAAAATAGTGACAGCTAGAATATGAATGTGGTTCATCCGTTCTCCTAATTATCCACTAGACCACTTGGGCCATGACAGCCACCTGATATTTAATTGAATTTTAGATTTTCCCGTCAACAGAGCATTGGCGTTTGAAACTATGGCCACAGGGTTCGAGCCTCGGGTGGGGGGGGGACATCATCCCTCATTAGGGAATGCAGGCACATACAGATGATGAGTCTCAAATAGGATAAAATGCGCGTTATTCTGGATTCCACTGCTAGTCACCATCCACCAATTAACTACTAATTGCATGCCCACACTTCGTCGCAGCATCTGCGGAAGAAGCCAACATGTCAACCTGAGACCAAGCACTTCGGTCTCATCAATCGACGGTAAAATCTTAAATTCAATTAAATAGAGCAGTACTGATGGATAGAAGAGAAACTCAACTTTTCTAATGATTGTATGGTTAGATTGTATCGTTACAATGATTCATTAACACAACCCTTAACTCTGTATATAGAGAAAGTTTGTCCAGTCTCGTATTCTATCATGCTCTTAATCTGTTAATTAGTCGTTCACCGTAATTTAAAAAAAAATATTTTTATTGGTTACTTAGCTTTTACTTTAATAATTAATTCACTGTTATCACTCTCAGATGTTCATTTTGTACATTTTCACACCTTATTCACATATGTTATATGGGTGCCGAACAAGCTTTCTTCTCCCTCAATAACAATTTTCAGGTTGGCATATTTCTAGCCTTTTCTTCCTTTGAACCGTTGAGTATTACGTAATCTTCAAAAGAATGGTTACTGAGTAAAGAATACTCTTTTTGATAACCCTTTTTCCATGAGGTTCTACAGTTATATATGCATAATAGTGAATGAATGAATGAATTAGTGTTATGCGCAACATTAATGTTGTTTAAATAACGTCGAATCGATAATTTCAATAGATTACAGTTCAAAAGCATCAACATAACAATTTACTGAAAGTCAGAAACACTAGGAAAGATAATATTGCAAATTCATGAATTTCTAGTCTCTTCTGAAGGCCGGCCAGGGCAGTAGTAGTGGCTGGCTAGTTGGACTTGCTTCTTATCCATACAAAGCACCGGCTGTTTCACGGGAATCGCGATAGCCTTGTGGCCGGCCGGTTTCGACCAGATGATCTAATATCGTACTGTTGATGGCTTTCACTAAACGTTTACTTAGCCATACTGGGAGATGTTCTCGAGCTGGCACGAAAAATCAAGTTCCTAGAGCAACGGTCGGTATTACTCGCTACACCACAGGCGCAGTTGAATTAGTAGATACAATTGAAAGTGGCTAGTGTAGGTACTTCATCTTTCAGTCAAGGTAGCACCATCTGTCGTGCAGAGAATAAGGTGTGTTGTTCGCCAGCATTAAAAGTTGTTTGAACTGATTTTCTTAATTTCTTCGTAATTATCTCACTTGGTATATCGCGCTTGAATTGCAGTCGTATATAAAGAGGCTTCTTGTTTACGGATAATGAGTAGTCCTTTTCCGCTTTCTTTATCATGTGTTTCTTGATCATCTTTTCTCGACAGCTTTTTTCAATCAGAGCATCACATACAATGCCTAATTCATCTTCACTTACTTCTTTTGAGCGTATAGCGCTAAACCTGTGGTTGAGAGTCTTTACTAAATTTCTTTCGTACTGGGAAGGGACGAAGGTGTGAAAATGTACATCATTAAATTCAATTATTATTGTGCTCTTATCGTAATCATTATCACAAAGAATGAAGGTGTCATCCATATACCGCCAATAAAACGAGAAGTTACTGATAAGCTTTATCAAACGTCCATTTTCTAGTTTATGTAGAAAGAAATCTTACAAACCCTTACAAACCAAATTATGGAAAGAAATCTGCCATAATGGGAGTCACTGGGAATCCCATCGCCACCCTATCCACTTATCTGTAATGTTTGCTGTCGAATTTGAAATTTAC